CTTTAACTATGGCTGCTTTAAATGCACATGGAAATATTGCGAGCCACACACTGTATACAGCACACTCACATTCCACTGCTGGAATGCGGACCGTACCCTATATGGCGAATCGGCAGTCAATGGGTAAACACTATGGCCACTCAAACTGCTCTGGGTACAAGAAGACTAGCTAGCTGGTTCACCAGATCTTTTGAATGATATTAAAGTTAAATCAAATAAAATAATAAAGAAAAAAATAATTGGTATTACAAATGAATTAAATATATAATATTGTGTTATTAATCCTTACCTTAAAATCTGGTTTGTAAAATGATATAAATATAATTGACAATAATAGCAATTCACTTACTTAATCTAGTTCACACAACAGAAGTCATTATTCATGGAAGTTTATAATATAAGTAGTGCCTAGTCCACCATTATGTCTGTCATATCCCAGTTAGTCTAGTAAGCCCTGTTATTGTGCGAAAGGCCTTATCAGCCTAATGTTTGACACATTATATTGTATACGTTTTTGCTTTTGCTAATAAGTACTTAGAATTAGTGGTATACAACTGATGCTTAACATTGGAATTACACGAGTGATGTGTAAAGTTGGTGTTATATAAATAATAATTAACATTGGCATTATACAAGTGATGTTTAAAGTTGGCATTGTACATATGACATTTGGCATTCATATTATACAAGTGATGTTTAGTATTGGCATTATACAAGTGATTTTTGATGTTGGTCTTGTACAAGAGATGCTTAATATTTATAATATATCAGTGATTTGTAATTCTTAACACTATTACTTAACAAATTTTGTTGAATCAATTTTTTCATCCATCACATCCCACTTTTTAATGCTAGCTCAGTGTCCATTAGACAAAGAACATTTTAAGTTTAATCATTGATAATAATATTAAGAGTTTGATTTACCATACACATATACTTGGAGTAGTTAATGACCACATTGTCACTTCAAGAACATCTTTTTAGTTCTCTGTGTTTATAACGGAATTCTTTTGTTCATTTAGCTCGGCGTGTGAAAACTCACTGTTACAAATTTAGGAGATGGGTTCGTGGAAGGAGGTTTGTTAGTTTTATGTTTTTATGATTAGCAGTACATTAGCATGTTTTTGAGAGGTGAGCTTTTTTTTCTAATGATGAATAACTGTTGTAAAAATGGTTAAGTATCTTAATGCTTTATGGTAATGTTTTTAGTTAATTTTGTTGTTCCTTTATGATTAATTAAAATTGTATGTGTAATCTACTAAGGAGAAAGTTGAGTGTGCAAAAATATACTTAGATTTCATTTAATTCTTTTGACAAAAGCAAATTTCTCTTTGAATAAGTAAAATTATCTTGTTACTACCTAAGATGTTGTAAGAAGCTTAATCAGAAAACCACTTCTACCACTTTCAATAGCTATTGCATGTTTACTATTTTTAACCCTTCTCCTCATACATGTACATACTTAGTTAATATGTTAACATAACATATTGTTTAAGGACAACACGGGACCTATTGATCAATCAACTGTCCCATCCTCTAAACTAAGATTATTTTAAAAAATCTTAAAGCCAGCCCTTATCATTTGTATAGTTATCAAGCTTTCTCTTAAACTCACTTAAATTTACTATCTCCACAACATCTGAAGGCAACCCATTCCAGAGGCCAACCACCCTGTTAAAAAAATTAAACTGTCTTTGTCATGATATAAAAGACTGTTTGGTTATAATTTTAGTGATAAATTTATATTTGTGAGTGAATATTTTATTATTTTTAAGTTTTGTTATAATAAGAGTTAAAAGCAGACAATTGTAGAAGGTTTTGTTAATAAATAATTGGTGTTGAGAATATAGAAAATGGCCAGACAACTATGTAATAAAGGTATTAATAGTGTGAGGCAAGTACGAAGCAGTAGACAGACAGTATTAGACATATAAAAGCAAAGAGAATATAGTTGGTTTGAAGTTAAGTAGCATAAGACTGATAGACCTTATGACTGACATGGGCCCAACGTTTGATATATATATTAGAGTGAAACTAACAGTGTAAAAAGAAAAAATAAGTTTATTCCATCAAAGTGAAATTCTAAAGTAATTGAATCAGCCTGAGTGCACTTTAACAAAAGGAACATAAGATCTTCAGAAGATAGAAGACCACAATCGTAAATGAATCACACCAGACTAATATTGCGATAGTATTAGAGAAAGTAGTTCGACTTGTCAACTGGGATTCTAAAGTAATTGAACAGGCCTAAGTGGACTTTTGACAAGAAGAGGAGAACTATACATATAATGATTACAATATGCTTATATTGTCTATAGTGTGAATACTATATTGTACATATGTTCAACTTGTTCCGAATCTATATATTATTTGAAAACAAGTAAAATGTGTGCTGTTTATTCATTGTTAAATTTATCGCTAACAAGTCACAGACACCTACTGTAGAAGAATCCTAAGCCCAACAACTACATAGTATATATTTATACTATTAAGAAATATATAAGTAAAAGCCATTTATTTTGACAATTGGCAAAAAAAGACCAGAACCCATATATATTTTTTTTTAAATCTGACAGTCTCAGCTAAAGGTGACTCCTACCTTGCCAAAATTTTTATTTGTGTTTCCTAGTCCTATATTCTCACCATTAAATATGAAAAAAGATTATGCATCAACACTATGAATTCCCTTTACAATCTTAAACACCTCAATCAGATTCTCTCTAACTCTTCATTTTTCAAAAGAAAACAATTTCAAAGATCTTAATCTCTCCTCATATAACAAACCCTCCATTCTAGTAACCTTCCTCTGAACCATTTACAACAATTCAATGACCTTTGTAAAGTAAAAAACCCAAGACTGAACACATTACTCCAAATGTGGCCTAACCAATGAAATTATAACCTCTTTAGACTTGTATTTAATATTTCTGTAGGTACAACCTAAAATCCTATTTGCCCTACCACTAGCAACAGCACACTGCTTGGTATGGCCTAAGAGACTGATCAAGATCATTACACCAAAATCCCTTTCTTTCATGTTAAGGTTATTCCCATCCAAATTATACTTATAATTCAAATTATGATAACCCAAATGCATTATCTTGTATTTATAATAATTATAACCCACCTGTCATTTATTTGTCCAACTCACTAGATCTAAATATTTTTGTAAAGCAGCAGCATCCTCTTCACAGCTAGCAACACCCAAGACCTTAATATCATGAACAAATTTAAGTAATTTATTGACCATTCATTCATCTATGTTCATGATTACCTTCTTAGCATATGTATACAAACATAGTTATTATTTTCATGCTAATACCATCTTGACATACATGTGTAAACATAGTTAGTACCTACTATCTTGGCCTTCAGGTATAAATTAATTTTTTATGTTACAATAGTGATGAGACATCTCTGTCAATATATCGTGATTACATAAGCATCAAAATGTGTACATAAAATGTAAAATCTAGTCTACTATGGTGATATTTTGCTGCCATTTACTGTATGAATAGAATTATTATGATTTTTATGATGTTTTGTGTTTTTTACTCACTATTTAAAGTATTTGTTTATTTTATTTAGTAGTGTGTGTGTGTGTGTGTATATATATGAACAGTCAGATTTTTTTTTTTTACAGAATGTATTGTTATCGTACTTTGAAACGGAAGAGTGCCTTGCAGCTATTGTTTTATGTCTACCTGTTATTCGTCCACGTATGGGCATTTAGCTGTTCATTGTTTTAGGAGTAAAACTTTTGTATGTTTTGAGTACTTAAAAGAATCACTATCCATTGTCTTAATTATTTGACCTAATATTAATATATATGTGAAACTGTACTTTCTTCCAGACAGTGTTCTTTAAGAAATACTTCCTTAATCAGTATTCTAACACATCCAGTCCCAAATAGCCTATTCATAATTTAATGTTGATTTGGAAAATTGTCTCTCTTGCTGTATGATAGCTATTGCTACAAGAGCTTTGTACCTGTTTGTTTTTCTATTGATGTTTTTAGAACTAAATCAAGTCATTTATTGCCATATGTTTTGAGTTTATCAGTGCTCAGTAAAACATTCTTTCATGAAATAGGATTTATGGATTATGAACTATTTATTCAAAAAAATCATTTACTTCATTTTTTAAGCTAAATTATGTTGTTTTATTCTACTCCTGTGTGATTTTGAATCCTGTTATATGTTTTATTAAATCCAGCATGTGACTGTTAATGAGTTGTATTGTGTATAAAATTGGTAGATAGTATGCTTTGTGTATGGTATAAAAGCTCTTTCAGTTAGCCTTTGTTAACTCAAAGTACTGCAGACATAACATTTATTCTAAAATAAAAATGTTTGGTTTGTAAAGAAAATGAAACAAATTATAAGGAAATGCTAATTGTGTTTGAATGATTTAATGAAATTCCTTTGTTTTATTTTCAATGAACTTGTACTGGCTCTTTTTTTAATTTATTTTTAATTTTCTAGATGTAAAATTGGTTGCTTACAAATACAAAGGGTTTTATGTTATAGATGGTACTGAAATATAAGGTGGACAAAAAAAAGGGAAAATAGGGCTGTAGTCTTATTGCATGAATAAAGATGAAACTGTTGCTGAACACCTGTTTGAATATAAGATACTTAATGAAAATTATCTTTTAACTAAATGGCATTTAAGAAAATTGCAAAAAATAACCTAAGTAATTCCAATTTATACATTTATGGTTTCTACATATTTATTGCATTAAGTAAATGGGATTATTGAATATATTCAGACTTTGAAGATTAGATTGTACTAATTTGTATTTCACATTTATTGTAACACTTGTCTGTTTCAAAAATTAACTGTGATCTTTTATTTTCAAGTATATATATACGTATGTATATTATATTGGAAGGCAATGAAACAAACCTGACTAAAAGATAAGTTTTATTCCTTTGCTTAAAGTGGAAGATAAGATCAGTTTGGAATATGTATCTATTAGCCATTTTGTTTACATCTTCAGGCTTTTTTGTAGAATATTAATCAACCATTCAACATGTGTGTAATCAGTTTTAACAAGAATATTTTATTTAGAGAGCAACAATTTAAAATTAATATCAGTGAAAACAGTTTGAGTGTACCACTTTTGATGTTTATCTGGGTAAGAAGTTAAATATTTAAGCTCAAACTTACACATTTTAAGTTATTTTCTTGTCTTGTCTTGTTTATATGTTTAATACTTTTCCAAACTATTTTAACAATTGCTGACTTATTAGTTGTGTCAAAAGTGAACATCAAAAAAAAAGATATCTTAATAGTATGAAAATAGACCTAATTTCAGCATTTATGTGTAAAATAGTTATAATAAAGATTTTTTAAAAATTCATGTATACTGGATGAACCAATATACACCTTATGTAAGACTACAAATCCATTGAGGTATTTTGTATCTTTAAACTTGATATGTTGCTTGTTAAAAATCAAGACTGAATTTTTTTTATACAAATTGGAATTTATTGAAAAGTACAGAATAATGATTGTTATATTATTGACCAACAGAAAGGATATATTATGTATATAAGAAGATTTTTATTGACTGTGCTTAGCATAGACTAGATTGTAAATGAATAAAAACATTTATGTACATATTGTATTTATGCTCTATACTTTTGTCTTACAGTATTGAAAAAATTGCACAAAATAGTAATAGATTATATATTAATATGAATCACAAATTACATACAGAAATCATACAAAGAAAATATACTTAAATAGAAATAAATATTTCATAATTTAAAATTTAGTTAAAATAGCAAAATGTTGCAACTAATAGAAGTTTTCCTTTAAAAATATAAAGTATTTATGTAGTAGATTGGTATAAATTGATTAATTTAAAAGACACGAAACTTGTATTGCATTAAATGTTAAAACAACAATAAAGATTATTGTCAGTTTTCATAGCTTAATCATCACATAAGCATTACATTTCAAGGTCTACAGTTGGATTCTCGTTAAAAAAACTCATTTTATTTTTCATGAAAATTTTTTAAACTACCAATGCTAATTATAATGTCAGTTTTTTACAATACTTTTATTGCAAAATAGCTAATGTATTACTACCTTCTGGTAAGAGTGTAATTTTGTTAAAGTATTCATATCTTTTTATATAAATATAAACCTGAGTGAAATGTTAGTGCATCCTTTACATTAAACAAGCCCGGCATGGCCAGGTGGATGAGGCACTCGACTCACAATCTGAGGTCGCGG